TGAAGGACCAGTTAGAATTGGTGGAGGGAATATTAGGAAGTTAGGGGCATGATTGTTGAAGTAAGTTTCCCTGGAGCCTCCTTGCTGGCATAGGAATTAAGTGTCAGCACTATTACCCCTAAGGCCTGAGTTTAATCCCCAGCCAATTCTTCTATGCCAAAAAAAAATTAAATAACTTTTCATGTGAATGATTCAGAAAAACAGGGATGGCAGTCTCATTTACCATTTTATTCTCAGCAGTGTACATGTGGTATATTCAGTGAATTTTTTTTTTTTTAGAGATTTATTTATTGATGCATGCAGAACTGGGGTACAGGCCAGAGGCTCAGGGGCGGTGAGAGGATTCACCAGAGACAGAATGGGGAGCAGAACAGGCAGATCAGCGAAATACACTGCTGAGGGGAGCAGTGGGTAGGTCGGGAGAGGTCTGCTGTGCCTTGTGGGTCACCTCTGTGGCGAGGATCGAACTCATCAGGCTGAATTGGCTTTAGCTTCTTAGTGCTGTCCTTTAACCCACTGCGCTACCAGGGCCCATATTCAGTGAATGCTTTTTAATAAATGAGATAAAGAAAAGCAGGAAAAATGTAGTTTGGCTATAAATTTATCCTTAAGTTTCATTCATTAGAACAGAGTTTTAGTTTTTGGTATTCTACATTATCATATTGCATAGATGAGGCTAAGATGTATCTGTGTCAGACTGAATCCAGAAATAACCTAGTGGTTTTATATAGAAAAGTTTCTGTGTTCTATACCATAAAAGTAAATTATGCCTCCAAAAAAGAGAGTTTGAATTTGAAGGAAGAAAAAGAATGTTCAGATTAAGAGGAGAAGAAATTAAAAGATCACAGGAGTACACTTGTGATGAAAATACCCCAAAACCAAATTGTTCTAGAAACAATTATGTAACTGTTCTTTGCTAATTTAAGGGGGGAAAGTAGAGTTTTTTTATCTACTATGAGGGCGTATTTTCGTATCAGAAGCTTTAGATTTTGAATGTATTTATGACTAAAAGTTGAAGTAGATTTAAGTCACCAGTTTACTGGGCTGCTACTTATCAATGGTTACAATTTTTTATAGCAAATTTTCAGTGTATAATCACCAAAGCCAAATTTTTTAAAAATCAGCTGGTGAGCTATAGGAGTAGAATGATCTTTGAGGTAATCTCAAGTTCATTATCAAGACTGAATCTAAATCAATCTAGACCAAATCAACTCTGGTATTTTTTAAAAAAGATTTATTTATGCATACATGAACAGGGGTACAGGCTACAGGTATGAGGGTAAGAGGATTTACCAGAGACAGAGTGGGGGGTCAGAATAGTTGGATCTACTGAAATACACTGCTGAGGGAGCCGTGGGTGAGATAGGAGAGCTGTGCTGTGCAATGTGGGTCATCTCCCTGGCCAGGGGTCAAACTCATGCTACAGTGACTGGCAATAGCTTAATAGTGCTGGGACTTAACACATGTGGCAACTGGGAGGTCCCGACTCTTGTATTTTTAGAGTTCTTGAGAAAATAGGATTTGATAACATACTCTAAGAAATCATATACTAATGTGTACAAATAAACTTAACTTGAATAGGATTATTTGTAGTTAGGTTTTTAAAAAGTATGACCAAAGATTTTATTGTTTTTACTTTAGAGATATATTAAGATGTACATCAGTTAATCTGCCAGATATAATTCCAATTTATTAATTTTAGTAAGAAATGTGGCTTGAGAACTGATGCAAAAGATCAGCACATATCTTCTTAATCGATTTCTGGAATAAAACTAAATTATAGATAAAGGGTGTAATATCCAGTCAGTTTGGTTAAATATTAGCCTATATAATGTTGAGGCATTTTATTTCCTTTTTATTTGAGGTAAAATTGGTTTAAGTTGTTTGTATTTTGGAAGTATAGATATTTTTTAGATGTGTTTAAAATCTAATCCAATGGGCTGAGTAAAATAGGCTGCCTTCTAACTTCTTGATAATGTGAGCAGAACTCATCCAGTCAGTTGAAGGTCTTTAGTGAAGAGTTTCCTGAAGAAGGAAGTCTGCCTTAAGACTAACCTCAGAGCTGAAGCTCTGACATAACCCAGCCCTTGGCTCTTTAACTTGGCCAGTGTGCTGTGCAGATTTTAGATGGCAACCCTCACAACCCTATGAACCAATTCTTTAGAATAAGCCACCCCTCTCTGTTTTTTCCTCTCCCTTACCCCCCCACCTCCAACTCCTGTGTTTGCATCTGAGGGCTGTAGTTAACTCACCCCTGGATTGAATGATTGCTTGATAATTCATGCAAAATGATTGGGGTGTTTACATTTTTGTTGTTATATATTTTTAAGGATGTTCATTGAAGCCAGATTAGATTTAGAAGCATACTTTTGTGTATTATTTTTACAGAAAATTGGATAGGATCATAATCTTTGTAGGACTGTAATTGGATGTAGTCTTTAGAATTCACAGTTGTATAGACCCTCCCTTGAGCTTGATCCCCGCCTGTCCCCAAGGTGACCCACATGGCACGGCAGGCCTCTCCTGACCAGCGACTGCTCCCCTCAGCAGTGTACTTCATTGATCTGCCTGTTCTGCTCCCCACTCTGTCTCTGGTGAATCCTCTCACTGCCTCTGCACCTCTGGCCTGTACCCCACTTCTGTATGCATAAATAAATAAACTAAAATAAGAAAGAATTTGCAATTGTATAAATGTTACTTGAATTACATTCATAAACATATGTACCCATGTTTAACTTGTTAAATGAAAAAAATACTTGGATTTTTAAGTAAATTTAGGGCAAACAAACTTTGAAGGGCAAAAAAGCTTTTGAAAAGATGTTTGAAATCATACCCAAATAATAATGGTCTAGGTCAAAAAGATTATCAGCGTGTATAAACTGTACTTTATAAATTTTCATTTTTTTTTTCTTAAAGTTTTGACAGCTAGGGTCATAGGTTCTCAAATATATTTTCTTTATACTGCCAGCATATCATTAACCACCATTAAGATGGTCACTAAGGATCACTCATGCATAAATGTACAAATGGAATTAAATTGCTTTACATTTTTTAGATTAGCTCCCCCGCCCCTAGTTTTGCTAATTAGTTGTATCTAATTTTGAGCCCTTTTGAAGATAGGGAAGTCAGTGCCTAGAATAAGATGCGTGAAGGTTTGGGGAATGAAATACTAAAGACAGGCTTGCCAAGGGTCCTTCTGAAATCCTCAGCATAACCATTTTAGGATTCTGTGAGAAAGTGAGCTCTGACTGTCTCAGCTTACTTATAAGCACATTTGTGGAACAGGCCATTTGTAAATCAAGGATCATCTGTGTCTGGCTGTCCCATTCTGGGATCATAAATTTTTTTTTAAAACAATCAAAGATTTTTAAAAAAGATTTATTTATTCATGCATATAGAACTGGGGTATAGGCCATAGGCTCAGGGGCAGCGAGAGGCTTCACCAGAGACAAAGTGGGGAGCAGAACAGGCAGAATAATGAAGTACACTGCTGAGGGGAGCAGTAGGCGGGTCAGGAGGGGTCTGCCACACCATGTGGGTCACCTCCCTGGCTCGGGTTCAAACTCACGCTAAAGTGACTGCGGCTAGCTTCATCGTGCTGCACTTTAACCCACTGTGCCACGAGAGAGGGCCTGGAGATCATAAATGTTAAAGAAAATTGAGAGTCCAGGAAACATTTAAAGGGGCCACATCAAGTTTGGGAAGAACTTTTGAAGTCACGTATTATTTGGACAAAAATAGTACATTTAGGATGGTCATGATGACTTTTAATATGTGAAGGTGTGTCATTTAGACAGTGTACAATAATCTTGTCATTTTAGAGCAAACCAATAATGGGATGGGCTTCTCTCCACACTGTGAGTACCTGTTATCTCTAGAAATGCTTAAACTGACATTATATTCAATAACTCCACTGGGAAGAAGGTTGGCTACATCAGTTAATGTTAAAAAAAAAAGTCTCAAGCAATCCTCTGAGTCCAGTGCTTAAGGCAATGAAATTATTTTCTAGGGCCTGGGATAGTTAAAAGCAGATAGGAACAAAAATATGTAAAAAATTAAATCAAATCTTCAATTGTGACATGAGGTAAGCCAAAACCTCCAAATGGGAAACAAAACAGTCAAATGGGAAAAAAGTAAGTAGAAAATATAAAAGTGCCTGGATCACTAAATACAATTTCTTGTCACCGCTTGCTGTCGCTCTGTGGTTCCTGTCCCAGTACACCTGCCCCTCAGGAATGCAGCTTCTCAGGCACATTGCCTGGGCTCTTCATTGTAGATGGGAAGTGATTCATCTTTGGGCATAAGAATGTTTTCATGGAGGGCCCTCCCTGGTGGCACAGCGGGTTAAAACACCACACTAGGGATCTAGCCTTAGCTGCTGCAGTACGTGTTGGATCCCTGGCAGGGGACCAGGGTGCTGACCCACGCGGTGTGGCAGATCTCTCTTGACCCTCCCACTGCAGTGTGCTTCAGTAGATCTGCCTGTTCTGCTCCTCACTCTGTCTCTGGTGAAGCCTCTCACTGCCCCTGCACCTCTGGCCTGTACCCCAGTTCTTGTGTGCATAAACAAATTAATTTTGAAAAGAATTTTTACATAGAAAAATTTGACAAGAAGAGTATATGCCACAGACACAACATTTGTTTCTTTCTGGAGAGTTGGCTAGGTAGTGCCAATGTCTGGACAGCAATAAATGCTTCTGGAGATGTCATGATCTGAGAGCATTCCTTTCATCTGAGCTCTATAGTTGGAAAGAAAACCAAGGAATTAATCAGTATAAAAGTATGGAGCCCTGGTGTAAGAGTTAACAGAGGCAGGGCTGAAACCACACGCTTTCTTCCACGCTGTGCAATCCTCACCTCTAGGAAAGTTGTGCAAATATTTAGAGAGTATTGGTTTGAAGAGGAGCCAAATCGTTAATCTACTTGGGTGGCCTGTGTTTCTGTCTGGTCCTTTGTTTGCCACAGATTTCATATAACCTATTTATCTCTCTTTTTTTAAATAGTGTCCATGGAAAACATTGGAGAACAAGGTAAAATATATGTTTATGTATAAAATATTAAAAAGTAGTTTACAAAAACGAACGGACTTTACTTGAATGTGGTTGGGATTAATGAATTGTGGTTTGTGAATGTGGAGACAAGATGGGGTGAAGGTAGCTTATTCTTTTAATTTCTAGAGTGAATTCTGTTGGATGCTTGGAAAAATCGGCCCTGAAATGGCAGTAATAGTGCCAGAGATTCTTGTAGCTTCAACATACAGGATCACCAACAAGCTTCCATTTCAGCAAAATAATTCTTGACAAATATCACTAGTTCTATTCACACACTGATTTAAGTTCCTTATTGGATAATTTAATATTTTAACAAGTCTATAAATGAGTATTTTTAAAAAGTTAAAAATTACTATTAAGGCTTTGACATACCAAAAGTGCTTTATTTTAAATCAGCACATTTTATTTGACTATATCTTACAAAATAAAGTTTATTACTTATATAATGAATGTATATATTTATATATCATTTACATGCATACAATAAATATCATATAAACACACATTTATTATATAAATTTTATATACAATTTTATAAAAATTTGAGTGTATATTACTCCAATGATAATTATGTTTGTCACATTTTAGTTGTGTGCCTGATTGCTTATCATCTACTTTTTGTAATGTTTGGTCATATTGGAAAATGTATAAATGTATATATTTATATATCATATACATATAAAGATTATATATATAATCTTTATCATTAAGATTATATATATATATATAGTCTTTATCATTGTATAAACATCTATATTTTGTATTTGCATAGTACTTTAAGCCTAAAATACCACCAAAGTGTGTTTGTATACATTACCTGATAAACATGTCCAGAATACTTGCTTAACAATTGTCCCATTTGACACTTGTTTCCTACTGGAGGAAATCCCTTTGTCCAGATGGCCTCTGTTTAAATACGTTGTCATTAAGACAATTAGGGCCACCAGATTTGACCAGAGCTAAACAAACAGTTTCTCAAACAGGAACTGCTTTTGTAATTCTGTGTCGCTGTAGCAGAGTTCTTAAAGTTTGAATATTTTTATATTGGTTTAATGATACATTTATTATTTAATGTTGCAAGCACAAATGTCATATTTCACAATTTAGGAAATACACTGCCAGTAGCTGAGTCTGTCCACAGATATGGGAAGATTCTAATCCTGGATGTAGAATTAATTATGTATTACTAGAGATTTATTTTAAACCCTTGGTTTTAGGTTTAAAAAATTTATTCATTGTTTTTTTTCTTATTCTAGTATTATATTCATGAAGTTATTTACAGTAATAAAATGAATATATAAAAAATTAAAAATAAAATATATTTATTATAATTGGTAATTTGGCTGTTTTAGAACAAGCAGATCTCTTGTGAATACCAAAATTGTAGTGTATATAACTCCAGTGGTAATTATGTTTCTCATATTTCAGTTGTGTGCCTGATTGCTTATCATCTACTTTTTGCAATGTTTGTCTGGTCGTATTGGAAAACTATCTTCACATTACCAATGAATCCTTCAAAAGAAGTAAGTTTAAAATATTAGTAAAGTTACCCTAAAGATGAAAATCAGTAATACTGATGTATGAAGAATCAATTTTGTCTTTTAAGTTAATGTTGTAAACTTAATGAGTTTAATGATTTTTTTTAACATACATGTGTTTTGGTAAATACTTGAATTTTCACTTAGCAAATGCCATTTTTTGTACCTTAATGAATATTACATTTTCAGTATTTAATCTGTGTTCCATTTCTACTTTGCAGTCTGACCTCAGGATGGATGACGGGATAGATAGATGATTAACAAGAGAGAGAGGATAATTGGGTAGATAGATGACACATAGAGCAAGTGAGCCAAAAGCAGACATGTTGCTGTTATGACTGTCATACGGTCGATGTATTCCTGAACTGTCAATCACCAGAAACATCATCGGCAACAAAATAATGACTGCACTCGCCTTCTCAAAGTAGCTAGTCCACAGTTGCCGGGTATCCAGACTCCTTCTGTCTTGTTACTCAGACAGGTGCAGTCAAAGTAACATCACCTTCTGGTCTCAGATGTCTTCTCCAGCTAAGTCCTGCCTTTCTACATTTTCACCGGAAGGCTAGAGAAAGTAGGAAAGAAGAGTAGAAGAAAGTGTCCTTGACTTTAAGGACACTTTCTGGCAGTTCCGATGCTATTTCTACTTATACTTAGAACTTATTTACATGGCCACTCCTACTTGCACACAAGTGTGGAAATATAGTCACCTCAACAGCCATGTTCACCTTGTTAGAAGAAAGTGGATGTTGGAGTACAGTTAGCAGTCTCAGCTATGGAAGATTTGAAATAAATGATATGACTCGATTTTCATTTTTAAAAGATCACTTTGGCTATTTGTTTCTGTATGTTTTTTTTTTTTTTTTTGCATACAGAACTGGGGTACAGGCCAGAGGTGCAGGGCAGTAAGAAGATTCACCAGTGACAGAGTGGGGAGCAGAACAGGCCGATTGATGAAGTACACTGCTGAGGGGGGCAGTGGGCGGGTCAGGAGAGGTCTGCTGTGCTTTGTGGGTCACTTCTGGGGCTGGGGACCGAACTCATGCTAAAGTGGCTTTAGCTTCTTAGTGCTGTGCTTTAACCACTGCGCCACTAGGGAGGGCCCTGTTTCTGTGTTTTTTTTATGTTGGCTAAATGTTCTTACAACAAGGTCTTACTCATTTTTATTTTCTTGGCTTATAACTTACTATTGTAAGTAGTTTAGCAAGTGATTGTTGAGTAGAAATAAGCCATGTTCCAATAATAATAATAATAATAATAATAATAATAATAATAATAATAATGATAATGTGGTTTTAATAAAAAAAAACAACGATCTAGGCATCATTGTAAATTGTTTCATGATATGCTTGACATGCATCTGTGTACTCGAAAGCTAGGCAGTGTGCTATGTGGCCTGGAAAGGGATATTAAAATCACAAATATATTTGCAGACAATGGAGTACTTGCTCTAGAATGCTTTACATATAGCCCTTTTCTTCTGCTCCTTACTTATTTTTCTTGTCTTTTTATCCTCCACCTTGTCATACTTGCTTTATTACTGTCTTCTCTTTCCCTCTCATTCTCACTACAGTTGTAGGCTTAAGCACAGTGGCTGTGTTCTGTTGTAGATGATCTCAGCCACACTGGTGGTTTACCTCTGTCTTGACAAATCCCAGATCTATTAATATCTCTGCTCTTCTCCCTAAATTTCAAACATGCACGTCCCATGTCATTCTGCTGACACATCAGATACAACACATCAAAAACGGAAGTCACCTGCTTGTCATTCTCTAAATTGTTAACTCATCTGTGTCTTCCACCTGCTAATGCTACTGCCACTTACCTCATTATTCAAGCCAGAAGCTGGCAGGCCACACTCGAATTACCCCCCTGTTCACCCCTCCCCCAACATCCAAATCTTGCTTGTTTTCACTTCTGAATTTTTCTTTTTCACTCTCACCCCCTTTCTTGTTCTTTTTTTTTGTCATTGCCCCTAATTCAGAGGGCTAGTGGTCTCTTTTGTTTGTGACATTTCTATCTTTTCCATGGTGCTGCCGTTTAGTCTTGCCTGTCTTCCCTTTCTGGGAACTTACAGACTTTCATCCTCCACCCTGAAGCAGGAGTGATCTGTTTAAATACGAACGTAATATTTTCACTTTACTTCTTAAACTAGTTTAGTGACTTCACATTTCCCACAGCCTTCCTAATCTAGCAGCAAAGATTTGTGCATCAATTTCTGACTTTCCACTTTATGGCCTAGTACTTCATAATTACATATGGTTTTCTGTATACTCCAGGCTATTACTTTCTTTCTAGGATTCTTATCTCCATTCTTATTCAAATAATTCTGTTTTTATCCATAGTGGCAGCTCCTTTTTGGTCTCCTTTGCTGTTTTCTCAGTATACCTCCTGAATTTCTAAAGCATTGGAATGCCCCATAACTCAAAACACTCAACTGTGTCCCGTTTTTAAATCTACATTATGACTTTACATATCATCTCATTGCTACAAATCACAAAATTATATCATTAGCCTGGTCTGCTCCCTTTAGCTCACTATAATCTATTGCCAGCACCAAGAACAGTGTCTGACCCATAAAAGGTACATGGTATTTTTTTTAAAAAGATTTATTTATTTATTCATACAGAACTGGGGTACAGGTCAGAGGTGCAGAGGCAGTGAGAGGATTCACCAGAGACAGAGCGGGGAGCCGAACAGGCAGATCAATGAAGTACACCTCTTGAGGGGAGCAGCAGGCGGGTCAGGAGAGGTCTGCCACGCCATGTGGTCACCTCCGGGGCAGGCGGGGATTGGACTCATGCGGAAGTGGCTTTAGCCTCTTAGTGCTGTGCTTTAACCCGCTGCGCCACCAGGGAGGGCCCTTATTTATAACAAAATAATGACTGCACTCGCCTTCTCAAAGTAGCTAGTCCACAGTTGCCGGGTATCCAGACTCCTTCTGTCTTGTTACTCAGACAGGTGCAG